CCCTGCCTTAGCCCCCCCCCCCCACAGCTTGCAACGGCCACTGGGAGGAAGCGGGAGCCCGTGCTCCGGGCTGGTGCGTTCCCGTCCCATCCCAAGGCTGGGGAGGCTGCCCGTGGTCAGGCACGCAGTCCACAACCACCCCCCCCCGGGCCCCTCGGTGCCTCGAACCGGAGCTGCGAGCGCAGCAGGTCAGCAGCGCGCTTCCGACCCCAACGGCGCGGCCGTTACCTGGCAGGTAGACGTCTACCGGAGGGTCGCCGTCTGACTGCGTCAGGCTCCTGTGCTCGCTGCAGCTGCCGTCCTGCAGGACGTCTTCGACGGAGGGCGGGCGGCTACCTAGAACCAGCCGAGAGCGCAGCCCCTCAGTCCTCACACGGGCTCTGCAGGGGCACGCGGCCAGGAGGACGGGTTGAGATCCTCCACGTGAGGAAGCCCCCCAGCCCTGCAGAGGGCTCGGGAGAGCCGGTCAGGCTGGCCCCGGTCACAATGCCGACGGGTCACCCCTTCATGTGCAGGCTCATGCCCCAAAATGCACCCAGCGCTCCTCTCTCACCCCGTCCTCACGCCCTCTGGATGCTGACCGAGCACCGGAGACCCACCCCAAAGACACGGGGCACATCCTGCATGCCCAGTACCGTGGCCACGCTCTCACCAGGACCACAGTGGTGCATGCAGCCATCTCCCCCTCAGCCGTGCGAGGAGACAGCCCACGGCATGGAAAGCTCTACTTGTGTAGAGCTTACAGCAAAGAGAGATGCTTGGAAAATACACCAGGGAGATTTGTTGATTTTGCTCCCCCCCTTCCCAGAAGAGACCCTGGCACCTTTCTCTGGTGAAGCACAGCAGCTCAGAGATGGATTTCAGGGGCTGGATGTTTCCGAACTCGTATGTTCATTCCCCAACCATCCCCATCCCACCACAGAGGAGCTGGACGCCAAGATGAGGTCTGGCCGCCCCCATGGCCAAGTGCACACCTACCCTGCTGCAGGGACGAGGCCTCCTCGATCTCTTCCCCTGCCACGCTCTGTAAGGAGGAACAGCAAAGTTACTTCTGCGGGCTGGAGGCCTTTGCTGCGCTTGTCTCCTGCTCCGGCTTTCTCCAGAGAGCTGCGCTCAGGACCAGGATTTGTTTCAGGGAGGGAGCAAGGGGCCACCCACCAGCGCTGTGGGACCACGGGCTGGGGTGGAGGTGTTTTACAGGCGACGGCAGCGGGTGCTGGAAGCCCAGCAAAGCCCAGCTTCTACCCCTGCCCCAAACACCGCTGGGCTCGCCCAGGAAGCTGGGGGAAGGTCAGCTCTGACATGGCTCCAGCCGAGTGGCTTTCCAACGCCCCAGCTCCCAAAGAGGTGTTAGGGGCACAGGGAGCTACGTCCTTCCCTGTGGAGCCCTACGGGTAAATAAAAGCAGCCAACACTGTTGGCTCCGGGCTACTCGTGCTAACAAGCTCATCTTTACCCTGTCACCGAGGAAGCGATGGCCCTTCACGAGGCACCTCCCGTGTCCCAGAAGCTGCCCCCCCAGAAGAGCTCTGGCTCAGAGCAGCTCCCAGCAGAGCACACTTACTTCTGGAGAGCTGGTCTCTCTCAGGACCAGCTCGCCCCCGCTCAGTGCTGGCTGCGAGTCAGAGTCCTCGGAGAGCTTCTCTTCATCCTCCTCGTGGATTGGGGATGAGGGAGACCGTAGTGTGCTGCAGCAAGAGAAACTCCATTTGCAAGGAGCTGCAGTGCTGCCAGCACCGTGGGCCCTGGCGGATTTGGTGGCAGCAGCTCAAGTTGTCACCACCCCTGCCCTGTCCCTCCACCAGCAGCATAAGCCAACATGCGTGAGCAGGTCAAACTACAGAGGTAAATCCACCAGGGCCCTCCAGTATCAGCTACACGGAGAACAGCAGCAGCAGAGTTTCCGAGACAGAGCCAAGCGGTGCAGAGCTTCGGCACAGTAACACAACTTGGACAAATCTGCCTTTGCATGGAAAGCAAGAGGCCCAGGCTGCGCCTCACACCTTCAGGGGCTCCCTTCCCAGGGGGAAATTTGGAATGGAGCCCAGTGAGGAGTGTCAGGAACAAATCCAGTCTGACCCCATCTGTACGGCCCCGCAAGGGACACGTGAAGGGCACCTGTGGTGGGCTGCCCACTCCACATCCTCCAAGAGAGGAGGCTTCAGACAACAACTACAGGCTATCACTCAGCATTTTGTGCTCTGAAATTCATGTGACTTCTCTCCCCATTCTTTTGTTCCTGAGGAACTCCATGGAAAGCTGAAATCCAACAAGGTTTGGATGTCAAATGCAAATTGAGGGACTAACTGCATTGGAAAGGAGATATTTCCAACCAAAGTTTGGATGAAATCTCCTTGTAAAATCCTCTTCCTTTTGGTGACAAAGCCAGCCCTTAGGAGACATAAGCTGGTCACCTCAGGCTGAACACAGGGGCAGTGTCCCAGTTCTCTCACTGCCATGAGTACCTGCTGGCCTCCTAAAATTCTAAGTTAGCAGCGCTACCAGTGATGGGACCAGCCAGAACCCTCTCCTGGCTCCCAGTGCGCGTGGCCACAAGCCCACAGGGCTTGCAAGAGGAGCGGACCCCTCTCTCCCCTTGCTGACCTATCTGGAGACTTGCTCCGCTTGCCCTTTTGGTGGCTGCTCTCCATGGCTCTGTCCATCCCGACAAGCGGTCGGCTCACAGGGGGCATCCCATCCACCACGCCAGAGTAGTTGATTTCTTCATACAGAGGAGCTGACGGGATGGAGGGGGAAACAGAGCGAAGGCCATTCAGCGCTTCCAGCAAGGAAATGGGCTCGTAGCCCGGAGGGATGTTGTCAGAGCTCTGTGGGCAAGAAAGAGAGGGGCATGTTAAGAAACCCTCACCAGGCTGGAAGCCCCTCTAGAAAGGGGAGGCCCCGCTGCAGCCCAGCCCTGCACCTCCCACGCTGCGCTCCCAAGCAGCCCATCCCCACGGCCACCTCTCCAGAGAGCCTCCGCCTCCTTCCCCTGCACCAGCCACATGCTCCCCTTTGGGTTCTAATGCTGATGATCCAGGCAAATTTCCAGAGCAATGCTTGAGAGACTGGGCACCTCGGCAAGCCGGAACACGGCTTGGCACCCCCCCGCCATACTAGGGTGCTCTCAAGAGCCAGACAAGGAGGGTGAGAAAGCAGGTTCCTAACAAAGCTGCTATAAAATACTCTTTTTTTTTCTCCTAGGAGTTCCTCGATGGTTCAGAGACCCTTCCAGCTCCATAAGCACCCCACTTGTGCTTCCAGCCCTGGTACACAGCTGCTTCAGAGCACCACCAGTGTCACTAACAGAGAGTCGAAGGAGGGGAGTACGCGTGCACCAGCTGAGAGCTGGTCCTGGGAGCCGACACCGCTTCCACTTCTCCCATGGTCTCGGTCCTCTCAGCTGCTAACGCTGGTAGGAAAGGGATCACGGAACCACTGACCTCGCAAGGGAGGAGGGCAGAACTCCACCGTTCCCATTCCCTCTGTAACTCATTAAGCTGCCAGCCAAAGGGACCTGTGCAAAGCCATTAAACCAACACTGGTTTAACTCCAAAAATCCTCCTGATCATAGAGATCCCAGGGACTCAAACAGGTTTATGCTGCAATCCAGTAGGCCATAGGCAGCTCAGCCCAGCCTGCTGCAAACAAAGAGGCAAGACTGCAGCAGTCCAGGCTGACATTAAATTGAGCTGTTTCAGCCCCGTATCCTCAGGGAGGTAGCTGTACGTGGTACCTAAGATGGTGTGTTGCTGCTAAGCCTGGCCATGAACTCCTGTAGCTTCTCTGTGCCTGATCTCCCAATCACACAGCTGCAGACGAGCCTGCCCACAAACCTGTTCCAACCCAGCCATTAATTTTGTGTGAGCCGATTGCTGAACTGACTCACTTGTGGTCGCAGAAGGAGCTAGATCTGACGGGGAGGAAGGCACGAGTGGCACCTGGGGTAACGCATCAACCCACATCCCCTAAGTATTGGTCTTGTGATGGTTATGAGCTTGCGCTGAAGACCACAGCTGGCGATTGCAGGATAACCAAGTCAGCTGAACAAGGAATCGGTTCACAGTTGCTGCCACCTGTAGGCGGTGGGGCCAAAAGCCATCTCCACAAAAACCTTTCATTTCCAGACAGCAGCTCGGAGGTGCTGTTTTGTGGACAGAAAAGGCAGGGACACAAAACCCCCCTGGCTCGTGCTTGGGACGTTTTCTCCTGGCTGTGTAGACCAAGGCCTGAGGGTTCAAAGGCCGATCATTTTGCTTCACTGTGGTGAAAGCTCAGGTTCTGCAGCACAGCTCAGAGGCTGCAGGAGGATTTCTCAGCCAATGGCTACAACACCCCAGGCTGCAAGTTACTGAGCTTTCAAACAACCCTAAGAGACACTGCTCTCTCCTGGGACACCTACCACTACACCACCCGTAGGGCCCACTGCTCCAGCAGGAGTACTGCTAGTCACTGTAGGAGGCTTGCAGAAAGCCAGGGTCATGCCGAGCTTGCAACAGCCTCGTTACCTGAACCCAGCCTCAGTATTTCTCCAGACCTGACAAGCACAGCAAGCCACATTCCTCGTAAGGCCGAGCATCGAGGCCGGCTTGAGCAAAAGAAAACTGCAGCCTCCTTGATACCAATGACAGATGGAAGGACACAAAGAGGGCACAAACAGACCCTTCCTGGCCTGGGGGCCTCCCTCACCTTTCCCCTTCCCAGCTCCTGGTCCCCAGTTGCCATTTGTGCTGTCCCCAGCACAGCGTTCCAGTCACACACTCTCACACCAACTCAGAGAGCCCCCAACAAAACAAGCTCCGTCCTCCCTATTTCTGCAAAAGCAAACCAGCCCATTGCAGCCAGTGTTCCTGAATGCAAGACCTGATCCAACTGTGCCTATTTGTCTACCTCTACATCCCAGCACTGGTGTGGAAACCACGACAAGATGTGCCCACGCCAAACTGCCAAGGGGATGAGACAAGTGCAAGGAAGTTTTTGGGTGAGCCAAGGGGACAGCAGCTTGCCCACAGTCCTACAAAGCTATGAAAACAACTCGGCCAGGAACTATAAAGCAGCCAAGCTCAGGACCTGGGGACAGTCCCTGAGAGTCAGCATCAGACCCCTGTGGCAAGCTGCTTCCACCTTGCTTATTCCTCCGCACGCAAACCAGGGAGGTTAGTGATCGTCCGTGCAGGGTGTGAACGTCTCACCGCTAATGTGCAGGCGGTACATGGGGTGTTGCAGCCTGTGCAGGGGCACAACTCAAACCCAGCGTGTTAGCAAGCCCTCGCGTGTGTAACACTTCCACGTGCTAGTGACACCGCTGGCAAAGAATTGCCGTAGGAGCCAAATACAACCAAGTCGACTTACTGTTTCCCTTCTAGGTTTCCTGCTGGGCAGGGAGACAGTGCTCACTTTAAGGGGTTTAAGGGGACACTGTCAAGAGAAAACCATGTTTTAAAGAAGTTGTTTCTTGAGGTCAGTGACATGAAGAGACACACAGCATCTCCTCACTTCGCTCCAGGTGACAGCGCCTGCTTCTACACACCACGCTCTGCTTCGCAACAACCCCCGGGGTTTCTCCCCTGCCCTATTTCTTAGCCCCAGTTGAAGGCAGCAGGGCTACAATGCTGCAGAGGACAGACGGGTAAAACCAGGCTTTTTCTGTGACAATATCTTTCTGTTCCCATGAAAGTCTGTAAGATGACCTAGATGCAGATCTCCCTCTCCTCACTCTGATCTCATGTGTCTCGCCAGAGCCAGCTGCGCAACAGCCCTGCTCAGGCAATGAGCTGCTGCCCTCACCGCACCAGGGATGTGTGACCGGGCCCCGAGGTCACCAGCACCACACTTTCCATCCCACGCTCCCTCAGCTGCCTGCTGAGACCCCGATCACTCAGGGAGGCTGGCACGAAGAGGCCTTTCTGCTACCATGCTGGGAACCCCGATGTCAAGGGCATTTCATCAGAGCATGCTGCCACACAGATGTGCGTGCAAGTCAAACTAACCCTTCCCATTTTCCCAGCTCCCACCCGCTCATGCCCAGAGTCTGCCACTTTTCTGCTGGGACAGGCCCTGAGAAGCCTTCTCAGACTGAGGTTTCTTGGATTTGTTTCCTCCAAAAGACAGGAGGGCACTTGGCTAAAACCAGTTGTATTACTAATCCACGAGAGGAGAGATCCTGGCTGTCTAGCAGGGTTGACAAGAGAGGCTGCACTGCTCGGGAAGACCTCGCTCCAAGGCCTGAGCGCACCTCCTGAGGTCCCAGGGACGCCAGCCATCAGGCTGAGCAACTCGTGCGTGCACAAGCTGCCTGCTCAGGCTGAGACCAGCACCCAGGCTTTGTACACAGGGTTGCGAGGTACTTACAGAGTGCTCATCATGGTCGACACTCTGTGCCAAGACAGGGCTGAACGATACTGGCGACAGAGCCCCCGGCTTCTTCCTCACAGCCCGGATCTGCAGCAGGGCGCGGAAGGCTAGGAGAGAACAGCAGGCAGGTGACCGAGTGGCCAAACAGGACCAGGCCATGCCAGATGTGTGCCAGAGCAACTCAGCTCATTGCAGACACGCCGTCAGCATGGGGGAACTCCCTGTGTGCATGGGGAGCAGGACCATGAAGCACACCAAAGCCAAGCGCTATGGTCTGGCTTCTAGTTGATTGGTCTATACTGGGGAGAGATCTGCTGGCCAAAAAAGTCTGGGTACACGCAGCCCTTGCAGAGAACAGGCGCTGCCTGCCCAGGTACAGTCATGTACAGAGGTGCTTCAGGCCTGATACCGTACAACACTAAGAAAAACATGAGCTCAGCCTCAGGCTGAGCTCCACACTGCAAGCTACGGAATGGTGGAGGACCTCAGGCAAAACCACTCTGAGTTAATTCAGACCCCACAAGTCTCAGCCCTGGGGTCCAGCTGGTGCTGGAAGCATCGCTCCCGCCATCGGCTGCTCGCTGGCCAGCACTACAGTGGTGAGAGGCTCTGCAATAGCTGCAAGCCCAGCCGGAGGGTTAGTGGCTGAACTTCTGTCTCCAGCACAGCAATCCCTTGGTCCTCCCACCACAAGAGCTTTGATCTCCACTCCCTGCCCACAGTCCCATTTTCTATCTGCAGATCTTTAATATTGTTAGTTCCTCTGTGCCAAGGGCGTATATGAATGAGCCAGACATCTGTTCTCATGCAGCTGTAAGAACTTGCTCGTACATAAGAAAAAGCCCAGGCATTTCTTGTTGCACCCAGCTGCCTGCAAGATCAGCCTAGAGCCAGAGGACAGAGGTGCAAATCCATCCTCACTGCCTCTGCACTCCCCAGAAGCAGGTTCCCAGGAAGTCTGACGTGGGCGCGCTTTCCAAACAAATACAACCTACTCTGCTGCAGCATGCAGATGAAATAATGCTGTTCCTGTGTTTTGAGTTGTGCTACTTACAGTCAAAGCTGTCTGGCACTTCCTCTGATAAGATTTTGCATTTTGTTACTGCATCTTTGCTGACTTGGAACTGTTTAGACTTAATTTCTCAGGCCAAACATATGCCTTAGGCTCTTTTTTCTTTTCCTGAGAAGTATCAATTAGAAACAATCAAATAACTCAGAGACCAAGTACAGAGTAAAACACACGATCTGTCTACTCCAGCAAAAACATGGGCATTTTCTCAAGAGAATCCTATGCCTCTGTGCTTTTGAGAAAAGACATAGAATTCAGCAAGTGCTGCCTGAGTGTCAGAACGGGTATTTCATTTTTTCCCATCTTTTGGCAGCTGAGCAATGCAGGGGTTAAGCAGATTCTCCTAACTCTCCTGGCAAAGCAAAGGACTCCAAATTGACTGTTATCTCATCTCTGCCTCCCTGGTGAAGTCAAAGTAAGGTTGTCAGAGTGGGGGAAAAAAAAAAAAAAAATCATGCAAAGTACTTGGACAGCCCTCCGGTGGGGCTGGCTGCTGTCTCAGCCAGATACTCTCGGGATAAAGCTTCTACATCTCCTCCTTTGGGGGATTTTCCATCTTCTTCACCAAAACACAAGAACTGACTACACGGCACGGCTCAGAGCACCTGCACCTTCAGATCCATCCTAGGGAGAGGGTAAGTTGCCAGGGAGGCACTGGAGAAAGGGCCATTCTCCCATGTGCTCTCCTCTAGAGGACAGTTTATTTTAGGTGCCAGGAATCTCCAGATGCCAGTGAGAGCAGCAGCATGTTTGCTGCTGAGCCTTGGGGTGGAGTATATAAAATACACGCTCACTCTCACAGCCTGTACTGACTTAACAGGAGCCCAGGAGGAAGAAAGATGCCCTTGTTTGCTGGGCACATACTCACGCAGCCTGCAGATAGGGCAGTTGTTGGCTTGGTAGCGCAGGGTGTCGGCGCAGGAATTGCACAGACAGAGGTGTCTGCAGGGCAGAATGAGGGTGTCGCGGAGGTCCGACAGGCAAACCACACACTCGTTGCTGTTGTCGCTGTTCTCGTCATCTGAAGGCTGCAATAAGAGGCAAGATGTTGGCATGTGAATGGAAAGGACCACGTCGAACTGCCAAGGGACTCGGGAGCCTGGGGAAATTTCCTACCCAAAAGTCTGTGAGAGAGCTGTCATCCTCTTTCCACAGCTCTCAAAGGGGGTTTCTCAAGGGGAGCAAGCTCCAGCCCACACAGCCCTGCTACGGACACTCCTTCCTCTCGGGGCTCTGCTCTGAGCTCGCTAAAGGCCAGAAACCAGGGCACTGTGCTGTGAATTCACGGCACAGCCATCCCTCCCCAGAGCCAGGCTGTGTGCAGAGGGTAGCCCCTTTGGGCTACGGATCCCCTCGGCCGAGGGGGACCAAGAACAAGCTCCTGCCTGCCAGCCTGGTGGCTCGCAGGGGCAGCAGGAAAGCGGGCTCTTGGGCAGTCCCGCCTTTCTGCCCCATATCCACAGAGAGAGCGAGCAGCCCCAAAAGGAGCTGCTTGATGACTGTGGCAGGCAGCAGATCAGGCTGCCCTCGGGCTGGACAGAAGGAGGCACTCCAGTCACGTCTAAGCCCAGTTTCCAGAGGTCCTCTGAACAAGCGATGGAGTGAGCAGTTCTCCTGCCACATCATCTTCACCAGTCTCCTGTGCTGGCACAAGCTTTGATGCAGCTGCAGGAGAACCAGCCTGGGATGCTCACCTGCTCACAGCTACCCTGGTAAAAAGGTCAGCGTGAACCCTTTCAACATGAACGTGCATCACACTAGTCCTTCTGTCACTCAGAGCCCCACAAATTGGATTAGAGCCACCAAGCAAGCTGTTGCTGGGAGGAGAAACCCACTCTCCAACCACAAGAGCTCTCTTTGCTGACACCCGAGAACCCCGCAGTCTCCCCACCGATGCCACAGAAGTTATGCCAGAGCCCACCAAACTGATGACCCAGCATGGGCCACCCTCCACCTTCGCCTGTTCCCACTTCACAAGGCCCCTTTGGTCACCAGGGCCAACACATGCCAGACCATGGGCAACCTTGGTGTAAACTGCAATATACAGCATCTGCTGCTGCCACATCCACACCCAGCCTGCTGACTATGCCAGCAAAAGGCTGCAAGCCTGTCTGCCCCATCACATGCACTCCTCATCTATTTTGGGAGGTAGGGAGGGCAGGCTTTTTGCTTTCCCATTCACGCAGTTTGCTAAGCATAGTAGAAAGAACAAAAATGGCCCCAGGCCACTTGTCTGATGGGCCACAAATACATGATTGCTGGATCAAGAGAATCATCACAAGACCCAGGAGGACCCAAACAGAAGCCTTCAATCCTCTTAAAGAGATCCTGTGTAAGAAAAATCTTTGAAAAGACTTCTCCCTCATGCCTCTTCAGGCACTACCTGTTGGCACAGGCAGACAGAGATCACAGGATGCTTTGGGCAGGACACTGCATTGCTTGGAGAGAAAACCCTGCTTGTCTTGCTCTTTGGCTACTCCTCTGTTTGCAAATCACGCACTACACACACCAGAGCAGTCTGATCCTGAGGCCAGCACTTGGTACGCTCTGCAGCCCAGGTGGCAGCAAAGGGCAGCTCTACATAAGGCTAAAGCAAGCATAAAGCAGTCCTGTAATCTGTGTGGGGCTGTGCAGCAAGCCGGGAGTCAGAAGAAGCTCCTGCCTAAAGACAGGCAATGTTTCTGGTTAAGGTATTTGCATATACATCCCTTAGTGATGCTATGCTCCCTCTCGCTGGGGGATGCAGGCTGCTCTCTGGACACTGGCAAGCCCTAGAGAGCTCAGTTCCCCGCAATGCTACAGGAACATGCAGTCACCCCATTAAAAATAAAAAAACAAACAACAAAAACAACCTCCCCACCCCAACAAACAGGAGACAATGAAGGAGCCACAGGAGCAAAGCACAGACACACCAGGCACAACTGCCTTGACTGCAGAGAGGCAGTGAGATGGCATGGGCACCAGAGGGAAGATTTCAGAGGAGCCTAGGAGGCAATGCTCATTTTCGATCAATGAGAAAAAAAAAAAATATATTCTTGGCTGTGCAAACTGGGAAGCACCTAAACTGGCCAGCAGCCTGAGGGCACCAAGAGCAGCAGCTGACACTGGCCCACTATCTCCACCAGCCCTAAAGATCAGTGCTCTGCCCCATGGGGCACTGATATCCTTTTCGCCCAGCAATTCCAGCCCCAGGGAACATCTTCAAGAGCCTCAGGCTATCTAAAATTATCTCAGCAAAACTCCACTGATTATTTGGGCCTTACAACAGTGAGGACCTGCCATCCCTCGGCTTCGTCAGTGCCTGCACACAGACTTGACAGTCATTCTGGAAAGCATCTCCACATTGCCCTGCCAAGCCCCATAGTCAAGCTCAAAAGCAGAAGGTGCAAGTGGAAACCCACAGCTCAGGGAACAGGAGACTCCTGAGCACCTTTACCTTGGTCTCTTGGTTGTTTTTGTTCTCGATGCCGTAGATCTCCTGAAGTAGATAGCTCACCCGGTCAACCTAGGGAAGAAAACAACAGTTGGAGTGCCAGCTGCTCTGTCATTGCTGCTTCATGATCACCTCCCCTCCCTCCCTGTGTCAAAACGTCCACAAAAAAATTAACAGAAACAAATACTGCAAAGGATAGCTGGGAGAATGAATCTCTCCTTGCTCAAAAAGTGGCGCTCATCCCGTCTGGTCTGAGCAGGGAGCCCAGCTGACCATTTTTGTCACTATCAAAATTATCTAAAAAACAAGTACTCTGCTTGTCTCAGAGATCAAGAGGGAACATGCAACCATAGCTCAAATAAGTCAGACACAATCAGCCTTCCACAGTCCTTTCCTTCTGTGAAGCACTGCTTAACTTGAACTTCCACCCATCTTTGTCGCCCCAGGAGAGGTGCTGTGCCAACAGCTCGTTCCTGGCACATCAATGGCTGCACATCACTTCCCCGTTCCCCTGGGAGCATAACGTCGAGACAGACAAACCATCTCCCTTAGCATGAGAAGCACTCGAGGGCCAAGATTAGTGCAGTGTCATTTATTGCCACCTCCAGGCCCTTGGTGGCATCTCTAAATTGGGGTGTGTGGTGGCAGAAAGTGCTCTAGGCACAGTGGAAGTTGCTCACAGCCCCAAACCTGGGATGTACTCCTCCAAGCCATGCCTTTACGTAAACGCTGGCAGCTGCCTGCAAACTCCCCGGAGCAGCTGAATTAAAGCACTGATGGAAGAAAGGCTGATGATTCAAGTCCCAGCGAGGCAAGCCCCCTTTGCACTGTGGGGTGTTCTACCCTGTTCCCTAGCTTAGCCAGCAAGCACAGCACGAGACTCTTACAGCCGTGAGGAGCAGCCTCTACAAGGATGCACAAAGATACTGGTCGCCTGAGATATGGTGCTACGCAGCAGCTTCTCCAGAGCAGGGTGCGTTCCTCCGCACAAAACCCCGCAACAGGTAAAATAGTGAAGGGGTTTCAAGGTATCAAACTGACACATTTTGAAAATAGGGGAAGGAAACGCTTTCTTGCCATCTTCAGTAACTCTCCAGTTGCATGCAGTGAAGCCAAGCCACCGGGAACCCAGTGCTTCAACAGCTCGTCAGTCCTAGGGCTTTTGGCACTTCCATGTGTAATTGGCCTCCTCTCCTTTTGTCAAGCCAGGTGCTCAGAAGAGCAATGGCTTTGCCATGGGATTTCAGTGTTGCCGAAGACATCACATGCCAAGATGGGGGCAGAAGCTAGTTATATCCAGCCTGTTTGCCAGTTTAGAAATGCTCCGAGCCGGGACGCAGCAGCTTTAACAAACTAATTCCAGAGTCTCCCCATTTAACTCAGCATGCAGCTTACAGACAATCTGTTCTAGGCTTGCATTTCAGGGCAATGAGGTCAGCTGTTGGACCGCTGAGCAAAATCCTCTGCAGCGGCTCACAATTCACCCAGGAAGTTTGGGAACAATGATGTGGGAGATGTCCTTTTGTAACTTGACATTTCAAAGACAGTCTCGTTACGGCATCCTAACTCCTCGGAGGATCATGGTGAGAGACAGCCAGTGCAGAAGTGGTCAGCTCAAAGCAAAGAAGAGGTCAGGAAGGAAGGGACAAAAGCCTCTGCAAGGGTCTGTGCTCGTTTTAACTCCTTGCCTCTCAAAATCCTGAGAAGGACTCCCAGTAGAAAAAGGGTAAGCAGTGCAATATGGCTCTTACTAGAAAGATCTCTAGAAGAGTAGGAGTAAATAAGGAGGAGTAGGTGATCGTACACAATGCAGTCCTTCACCTTCACGCTTCTCCAAGCCATCCCGCACCACATCATCCTTCCAAAGGCTTCTGTTGCTATATACAGCCTCAGCTGATGTACACAGGAGCCACGGGCAAAGTCCAGGTCATGTTTTTCTGCTGATCCATCTGTTTGCATTCATCTATGTTGAATTTCTTTACACAGGTTGGTACATACATTATAACTGATCTCAGCTCAGAGAACAGAGCAGTTCAGCTCATTAGCTGCTGCTTCCTGCTCCCAAAGAGCTTAAGAGAGAGATCGATGCACACAAAAGGCGCCTGGGAATCCTGGCAATGGCAAGGAGGGGAAGGCAAAAGAAAAGCAGTGACGGGGAAGACTGCACAATGTGATACTGCAGACACATACTCTATACCTCTGCTCTATGCTCTTATGGGTGCAGATGCTATCTCAGTTTCAGTGGTACTGTGTGTTCTTCTAGCGAGAGCTTCCTTCTATTTTAAAAGCCATGAGAGAGAACATGTAAGCATTACATTTTACAAACTGCCAATAAAAAAAAGTACCCACAACCAAACACCGAGTGGGAAGGTTACACGCTCTGCCAGTAAAGACAGACAAGCATGCACTGTTTCACTGCAGGAGTCAGCTAACCATACTGTGGTAGGGTGGGAACTTCCCTAGAGAAGCACTATTTAAAAAAAAAAAAAAAAAAAAATTAAAATCCCTCCAAAAACCCACAAGCAAGATAAATGAGCGGCTTTTCTTCAGCTCATGAATGCTCTTCTCTGATCAGAAGAATATGTGAGAAAGCCATCGCTGGCATCACGCTGCTCTGCTCCCAGGCAGCCTCTTCCAGCACAGCGCACAAGCTCTCCTTTCAGAGGCATGGCTCTTCTGGCTGTTCCCACTACAAACCTGCCTTCGCACACTCTATAGACTCCTTTCCGGAACGGTCTCTCGCCGTGTCTATTAAAAATACTTCTGGGAGCCAGATCGATCAACTAGCCAGGAGATCATGCTGCAAGACAGCCAAGTTAAGCACCAAGGAAGGGAGAGGAGTGCAGGTCAGTCTGGGACACACCGGGCTCAGAACAGACGTCAGGCTGGAGCGACAAGTAACTCAGCCCTAGCACTGGGATAAAGCTCCAGCAGCGAGGGCTAATATTCCTGCCACTGGGCATGAGCAAGTCTGAAGGACAGGCCGTAAGTCTCTGCACAGTGCTGGTGGGGCAGATAGTGAATTACCGAATGCAATTTTGACGTATGATTAACTGGTACTGTTTAGTGGCTCTTTTCTGACTTGGGGACTGGAAGGAACATCTTAAGAGCAAAAAGTGTCTAATCAAGGCACTTAATGACCTTCTTGGTAGTAAAAGGCTTTTTAACTCAGATCAGAAAACCCTAGCCATCAATCACAAGCAGCTGAAGTCAAATACCGTTAAAGCAGAAACACAGCACACATCTAAAGGTGAAGGGATCAACCACCACCATCTCATCTCTTTTTCCAAGACATTTCAAGCTGCTCCTTGCAGCAGGATTACCATCAGATTTCCTTTCAGAAGCCGAAATTCCTGGCAATCTTAGCAGTTTGCAGTTGCTTATGTATTTCTCTCTATGCAAGACTGGATGCAATTTCAATCTTGATAAGATGCTTCTGCACATCACACCACACTAGGATGGGCTAAAAAAGGGCTACAGATCCCTAATGTTTCCCTGTTTCTTCCTTTCTCCTCATAACGCGTGCAGTCTGGTACATAACCAACAGCTTCAAAGCAAGACTGTTTCTGTGACTGCTCAAGTCCCAGGACACTCGTAGGGGACAGCCAAGATAAGCCAAAAGGTCTCAGTCCCTGGGACTGCTCCAAAGATACCATGGGCACGACAAGGAAGCTCGTGCCGGGAGAAGATGATCCCCTAATATCTTAACACACACATGTGGAAAGCTAACAGTTTTCAGCCTCCAGGTAGAGCACAGGGAGCCTGCAAAGATATCTGTCCTTCCACACCACAAAACACTAAGATCAGGCAGTGTCAATGAACAGATGTGCTTCGTGTTACTTAACGCATACAGCACTTAAGCTCACTTATGCAAACCTAATTTACTTGCAGCTATACAGACATGGAAGCATAAGTACTGCGGTATGTCTAGGGGCTCTGCCAGTTTTGTATTCAAGCGCCAAATGCCAGCAAGGCAGGAATGTATAGGGAAGACTGGATCTATACGTAGTGCCTGTCTCCCAGAGGAGCATGAAGAGACCCGCACCATTGCTCTGCCAGTCCCGCGCTGCCGTATTTGTTCCCCCAACACACATCGGGCTGTGCAACAACCCACCCAACGTTAAGGGTTGCCAGCAGCTCGCTGCCTTTGCTTGTGATACCTGAGCTAACAAGGTGAGATCTCAGGCTCTCAGTGAACTAACATTGAAGCTTCTCACTGGGTACAGTCAGGCACCTGTGGGACACCAGCAAATGTCTTTAATCAAGCAGCAGACAAGAAACAGGTACTTACGATCTGCTTCTGTTTTAACGGCTTCACGGAAAAACTGCCATCAACGTGCTAGAAGGAAAAAAAGGAAATGTATTAAATAGCTGAAGTGTACAAATTAAGAGCAAAACAGACTCATGATCAGGGTCGGTGTCTGCCACCTAAGGGGAGGGTGGCACATGTATAACCGTGACAGCCTGAAGGGCAATCATTCCCAGCAGAGTTAGTGGAACAGGGTATTGGAGTGCTCCTTGTCTGCTCCAGTGCAGAGCTAGACAGACTTGGCTTAAATCAAACCTGGCTGAAGTGGGTCAGAACATACACAAAAATCCACTGGCACACTGGATACTTTCAGGCTGCAAGCAGTCCAACTGGGTGCAAACACTTCTTCAGCAAGTCCAGCAAGGCTTGGCAGGGGATATTTGTTAACACCCTAAATAACATCCAGTTAACAGAGCCATTCTCGAGGCCAGAGCCCCAGGAGAGCAGGGCATGAGGCTGAGAACAAGGCTTGTCCACTGGATGGAGTCAGAAACAAGTCACACGTGCTCCACATTGCCATTTTCAGAGCTGCAGTGACCACCTCGAGCCTTTAATTTGCTCAGCGGTGGCAGGCACAGCTGGAACAATTCTGTATATACCTGGCGTCAGAACTAGTGACAGGAACAGCATGCTATTTCTATTTTCTCCATCATTTCCAAGGGCTAACTAAACTGAACCAAACCAACTCCTCTGCCAGAGCCTAAAGAGCAGGAAAGGAGATTTAGGGGAAACTTCAGCAGGCCCTGCTGCTGTGAACAGTTGCAGACATGCATCTGTTTGCGGAAGGAGTTTCGGAAGGAAGGGACAACAACATTGCACCAAAAGACAAAACAGTCCTGTTTTCCAGGCAAACACAAGATGCCAAGTTTCTGCCTTTGGAAGAGCTGCAAGGCCAGGCTACGCATAGCATCAAGGTTACTATTCTGATCTTAAAGATACATATAAATAGCAAGTTACCAAGGCCTGCTGGTCTGTCTGTCCTCTGAGCATGCTCTGGTGATGAGCAGCAGTGCTTATTAGCAAGGACCTCTTCTGGATTTATGGACCTACACTTCAAAAGCTGCAATTATTGTAAGGATGGGGAAAATATTTTAATCAAACAGGGAGGAGAAAGAACTCAACAAGCACTTTGCCCTGTGACTTTTTATTAAAAGAAAGATTTTTATCTTGTTTTAAGCATTCAGTGGAAGATGAGAAGTAAGAAGTGGCCCCACCAGATAGCATCTCCCTCTCACAGCACACACAGGCTAGAAAAAGAAGGGAAGCGCTTTCAATCCTTGAGCTCAGACCTGGACACAGGACATAATCCAGCATTGATGGAAAGGCCTGACCAGCTTTAGTTGCTTCCCAGTCTTGCTGCATACCTCGTTCAGTTCCCTGAACATTAGGAGGGATTTTGGCACCACCTTTGCGCATCCAGAGAGCTCAGAGGTTCTGCACAGTACATGGAATTTACCTATAATCCTTGAAATCCTCCTTCCAAAGCTGAAGCAGTTCAAGTCACTTTCCAAGCTCATGAGAGAGAAATTTCCAAAGCTTCACTTCTGCCCTCATGCTAATACATTCCCAATACGTGTGTATTTTCCTACTTTCTTTAAGGTCCTATTATCAAGTGCTGGCCATGGGATGCTAGAACAGGAAGCTGGGACAAATCCAGGTCCAAGCGAGAGCTCTACTCCCTGACCACAGAGGCTGGGCTTACTGCAACAGCACTATGTTTGGATACTTGGAAAACAGCAACTAGACACACTCCTTTGTACGTAAAAATCATACTCGCATCATCAGATCCAAAGCCTAATCTGAACCTAGCTACAACCAAAAAGCTGTGAAGGCAATAGCCAGGGGACCACAGGCGAGTCTCGCAGATGAGGAAGGCAAACATGCGTGGAATACTTCAAAATCAGGCTGTAACACACAGGAAGCTGGTGGTCTCATCTATTTTTCTCTCCTCAGAAATGGTTGATCATTCATTTTGCAAGGCTAGGGGGTCTCCATCTACAGCACGACTCCAAATACTACAGCCTTCCCCAATGACCCACAGCCCACACTGTCCTCTCCCAGGCGCTGCTGAACAACGACTGAGGGATTCCAGTGTGTTTTGGTTTTCCAGATCAGCTGGAGGAGGAAGGTAGAAGAATAACATCGCTGCCCTAGTCCCAGGGCTGCTGCAGCTGCCCATCTCATTTCTGACAGATCTCTAATTTCCAGGAGTAGAACTACCTACAGGGCCAGTGCTCAGAGCAGCTTTTCTAACAAAAGAAAACTCATTTTCTTCACATACTAAGTCCACCAAAAAAGCAACCTAGAACACTTAGAGCATCTTCCAGCCACAGGGCTTCCTTAAGATTGACTGTGCTTCCTATGCCCTCTGACTCAGCTCGTCACCATCCACATTATCCACCTAGGAGGAACAGAATAAGACCTGTCAACTTGCTCAGGGATAATGGCAGGAACCGAGCAGATTGAGAAACAGAAGTCAGTCTGCCTGCCAGCCTGGAAGTGTGGAATTTCTAACAGCACAGCACTGACGCTGCTCCCCTCTACATGCCCAGCTCTGCTCCAGCATCTCTTGCCTCATCTTAGCATGTCCCTACAAGTATCACTTGTCCAGGATATGTGTCTGCAGCATTACCGCAACCAGACACAACATGGTGCAGTTATGGATCTTGCAACTGTTTTCAGGGTCCAATTACCATGGGAAGAGATTCTGTTACCAAGGCTTGTGCATACAGCTTGGCTTAGCCTTACTGTGTAGGCAGGGCTCAGCTACATCAAACCTGCCACCGACAAGTAGTGGAGCTCAAAGTCTTTATGCAGGATGTACCCTAATTCTTTAAAAGGGCTTGGTGCTATGTGTAAACTAAGGCCAAACAATGGTGCAATAGGGTCTGGACACAGCAGATCCAGTTCTGCAAAGAGATCACGAGGCCCTGGAAAACCGCATGGTAACAGCCGCGGCCAACACCTTCCACCCTCCAACATCACAGCCGCTGAGGCACACCCTCTCCCCACACACAGGAAACGCCAGCTACAATTAGCTGAGTGACCCGCTCAGGTACAACTGATAATTACAGGCAGCACAGGAGCTGCTGCAAGCAATTATTTGTAGTACAACAGCACTCGGGAACCCCAGTCATGGGCCAGGACTCCACTGTGCTAAGTGTTATATAAATACAAACTAACGACCGATGGAAATGTTTACATATAAAAGGACAAGGACAGAGGGGAAAAAAATAATTCATTTACCTTTTCAAAGGCAGCCAGAAGAACATGGGCATGACCCGTCACCTCAACCACCACTGCAAAAAGAGAAAGAGCAGTCCTGGTTAAACCTTGAAAACAGCACAAGCATAAAACTACCACAAGCTGAATTTTAGTCCGTTTACAATTTCTAAAGCACCACCTGTTTTATTTTCATCCCCTCTTGCAATTTAAAACTTTTCTCATCTTGTCATCAGGTTGGTTCATCTCACACTCCTGCAGAGCAAGAAGAAAACCCTGCTGGGCTCTGTGGTGGGCCCTACACAGACATGCCTTCATTATCTTGGGTGCTCCAAACTATCCCACTTTGTTTTCAGAGGTTGGAAAGGGAAAGTAAAACAAAGAGCTCAGTGGGATTCTGCTCCCCCCTCAAATTCCCGTTTTTAATTACCTGAATTTATCACAGAGATTAATAAATCCATCTGGTTTAACAGCAGTTAGCAGCACTTCCAGCCCTGGTGCTTATCACTTTATTTCACTCTAATCTGACATGCTTATAAAACATTTATTTCTCACACCAATTTTGGACACTGAAACATCTCTGCAGTTCTCTGATTTTTTTCCCCAGACAAATATCACATCTTCCCTCTTCCAAACTCGAGGCTTCCCTCTTAATCCAACCGCACTGAGAAAGGGCTGTCAGAGGTTTCTGTACTGCATTCATGGCTCCCTCAGCAAATACAGAATAGAGGAAGCCGAGGTACAATCCCAGTCTCTCTGGCTCAAGACTCTAAGGTTCTGCTCAGCTCCAACTGGTTGGACCCTTTTGCTTAATTACCTTCAGACTCATCATATGGAAATGGGAGACAGAGGTTGTGGAGGAGTCACCGAGGGAAGGGAAGGCATGTAGCCACCTCGCCCTGCCTGGACCGATGAGCGCCTGGGTCATGCTCGGCATGTGCAGAAGAGCTGGCAGACACTACTATCAGCTCTCCACCAGAAAGTTAACAGCTGAAGGAAGCAACTCCTGTGTTGTCTAAAAGGGAGAGGAGCTCAACAGCTTCCTTTGGACCCCCACATCAGCAGAGACAGCGAGAGGAACCATTCACTGGACTATGGCACAAAGATCCTGTTTGGAAACAGCAGTAAGTGGGAGAAGAGAGTCCATGCCTGCAGATTTGCTGGGTAACTGAGATCAGTCATGGCAATTCGGGTGCAATCAGGAACACAACGGCATGTAGAGAAGAGGGCTAAAACTGGGAATTCATCTGCTTGCTCCCCCAGCTTGCCAGCCAAGAGCAAGGCTGTTCTGGCTCACGCAGTAAATGAAATTCAGGTCCCTCCCCGCAGTTTGAATAGCCAAGTAAGAGGTAACAGGCATCGCTTCGTATCCTCTGTGGCATTCAAAGCAGCGTGTGTGGCTGGAGCTGTGCGACCCGTTCTGTGCGGCTCCCTCCCTCCCCGAAGGGCTTCTGTACCTTTCCCCGAGAGCCGTCCCGCTGGCAGGAGTGGGAGAGGGCTAACACTGCAAGCTCACATTCTTCAAGGCACGCAAACATCTCCTGGCAGAATTCAGTCCAAACCAACATCTCGCTGACTGCTATTTTAATTTGCCATTCAATTTTATTTAACACAAGCAGTTACAGGCCAGCTGTAATTTTCCAGGTGCTCCAAACACACAAGGCCAGCTCCTTCCAGTCTCAACAGTTAAAAAAGAACCAAAATACACAACAATTTCCTCAAATCTCACTCAAGTGTCACATATTTTTGTGCTGATATTCTTTCCAGGAGAGGATTTAAAACCAATTGCCTTTCCAGGTTATTAAAATAGATGACAGTACACTATTGGCTAAGACTGGGCATGGTATGTGCATAAATGTACGCTTCCCATGTTGCCTCCTGTTTTATTTTTGGTCCTTCTAGGCGTGCCCAACATTAGAAAGTACAAATACTTTGCCAAAAGCTCTATAAACAGAGGAAGGTGTTTTATATTTATGGTCAAGAAATATATATATATGTCAATTTTACTAACAGTGCCTGAAATCACAAAAAATAGATCCACTTTAGAAGTCATTTCCTTTATGTTGCACTGTGCTTTGTTAGTCACACTTTAAATTGGTTCATCCAGTTGTATTTCACTCTGCTTGGGGGACTGTAAAATAACAGAACAAGTTTCTGGGCACTTTCACATCTACGACATAAGAAACTGAGCAAGTGACTGCACTAAACAACACAATCAACAATGGATTTTTTCCTTTCTAATTTTTCTTAGATTTTGTACAAAACATTACAAAATGCAGAAGTGAAATGCTGGTCCTGCTGACCACAACAGCCCCCAGTTTTAGAGAAAACGTGACTTCCCTGTGCCCTTTTCATTGCTGACGCTCAGAATGAGTGCAAACACAGGGAGCCCAAAAGCACACACCCCCAAAGGAAAATACTGTGCAAGGTGAGTAACAATCGAAACACTTACTGGACTTCCCTCTCCAAAATGGCAACGTGCTTTAAAAATAATCAACAATATTATCTCTCATCAAGGGTTATGCTCTTTTATTGTAACCATTCAGCGCCCTTCAGAAAAAGCAGGAGAATTTTAAACTGCTGAATGAAGCTGTATTTGGTTGAACAGTGGCGTGAGCTTTTTAAAGCCATTTCTTTTTCTCTGACCATTCCTAGGAGACGGCCCACCCTACAGTCAGCTACAGCTTTTATGAAGACAACTTACCCTTCGAAGAGTGAGAAAAGACCAACTCCCTCCTTGCCTTGCAAACTGCAAATGCAAAACCCAAAGAGAAAGCAAGTAATTTGCTCCAATTTGTGCCTAGCATTGGTGGCAGAGCCAGGAGCTCTCCTAAACACTATTCCAACACTAAATACCTGGCCATTTTTCCTGTAAAAAATGGAGGCTATTTTTAAAAGCATGTTTTTACGTAAGAACCCATGGTTAGCTGGACCCTTATCATACAGGGAAGTTAAGGTGAACTCCTGAAATATTTTTATTCTGGAAAGGCTCCCCATGCCTTTGCTACAAGTAAAATGGTTTCATCATTGCAGAAGGAGGCCTGCCCTGAAGGAGTTGCATAGCCTCAAAGAGAGCTAGAAGAAGACCAAGGGAGCACACCACCACGCTTACCGTCCCCTTCATCCACCACCGCTCGGATGACCACAGGGAACACGCCACGATCCAAGTCAAAGTTCAGCTGAGGGCAAGAAATGAGATGAGGTTAGACAATTCACACCAGGCTTGCCTGAAGGCAATACTCGAGATAGCGTTCACATCAGAGGAAGGAAGGCCCCTTCTGACGGGCCCCCAGTCCCTGGTCTCAAAAGGACATGGCAGAGCAGGAGGATTTAAAATTCAGGCACCAACTTTCAAAGGTAGTCAACCAGAATAACTACAACATATATACATTGACATGGCACTAAACACTAGCCGTGGCTAGCAAAGCAAAGGGTCTCCATTTGAATTTTGTATGGTATTTAATTCTCACAAATTCCTATATCCTAAAAGTCTCCTGAGTGATTTGTAGCAAGACAAGTTTCTCAAAACACATCCAGTGCCATAGTTTTGCTTGCGTATGGTAGGATATACTGGTTATACCACAGCAGTACACCTTATGCTCCCTACACCACAAAAGAAACCCTGACTCTTGTATGAAGTTCTTGAAGGCATAGAGAAAAGGCTGTAAAACTTCAAGCTCACACACACTTTAAGGAAACACCAGACTGATCTCCATCTCTTGGCACGTTATGAAATTCAGGTCCTTGACCTTCTAATCGGTGCGAGTGAAAATTTAAGATCTCACTTGAATGCAAGGAAAACAGACTCAATTTCTTCCTTTGCCCCGCACTTCATTAAAGCACTTCAAAAGCTCCATGTCGTCTTACAAACACAGGAAAAATACAACCTTACAAACACTGTCCTATGCCAGGAATGGAAGTGGCTCAGAGACTGGATTTCTGGTGGGTTTTGTTAATTACCGACTTGGGTTTTTTTGTCTCATCTCTTGCCAAGAGAGAAAAAGATGTCATTTCACCACAGCGCTCCAAGATAGTCTGTTTTCAGTTTTCCAGTGAAAACTGAGACCCAATTCGAAGCGCCGCAGCATCGTTCAGGTAGTGCTTCGGGGCTTCCCTGACTTTCCTGCAGCCCCCTCATCATTTGCAGCACAATCTTCTCCAGCCAGTCCCTCAAAAGATAAAACTATCAAGATAGCCATTGGCACAAATGGCAACCCAAACCACCCAGACTGGAGGGAAGGTGACCCTCACTGTGAGCCTTAACATAGTTGAAAATGGTTCCTCCTCAAATGAATCATAAGATCACAGAATCGTCAAGGTTGGAAAAGACCCTTAAGATCATCGAGTCCAACCGTCAACCTATCACTGCCAAGTCCATCTATACCATGTCTTCAAGCACCGTATCTATCTGTTCTTTAAATATCTCCAGGGATGGAGACTCAACCACTTCCCTGGGCAGCCTGTTCCAATGCTTGACCACCCTCTCGGTGAA